TATCCAATCATGAGTCTCATGACATTGTTACACTGACTCAGATTCAATTTATTGTATTAGATGGCTGTGGGTTATTGCTATGTATAGATGAGACCACAGCAAGCCAGGTCACTTCCTCCCTATAAAAGTGTTTTGCCTCAAAACCTCACTTGCAGCTTCAGGAATAAGAAATCCTCCAGAACGCAGAAGTGCATGGAGATCAATCAAATCAGTTCTCACCTGGAGAATAAGGACTGATTTACCACAAAATTCATTACACAGTGCAATTACCGTATTAAAACAGACTTTAATCTTACATAATCTTTTTCAACTCTCACTTGGTAATATTGAATATATACTAAGATTGCACTTGATTATTTTCGTTTATCTCAGCTATATGTTCTGTGATTTGCATTTTAAAAACTGGACATAATATTGCAATGAGACCACCCATTGATTCTCCAATTACAAGTTATGTGAGAACTTACATATACTATTAAATTTTTCTTAGATATTTGGAATTAGGAGGTCTTTTATTCATCATCTTGGGCACTCTTTCGATTTTCTCCTTTATAATGCATTAAACTGGAAAACAAAAGGTCCATATTCACAGATTTATGAATGGCTCACCAATTTATTATCAGCTTTTTTGGCTCTTCAAGTCCCTCTTTTTGCTAGTGGCTAGGGTGAAAATTGTACAGTCTACAACTTAGGCATTTTGAAAATGTCTCTTTTTAAATTTTCTATACAGAACAAAACGTCCTCACAAATCCTGTTCTCTCGTCTGACTGGGGCAGGGCCAAGAAGTGGAGCAGTAGGGGATGTGTCCTTAAACTTACAGTGAAAGGTGTTGCCCTTCTGGTTTTTTCTTAGCATCACCTCAGTCTTTTGGAAGAAAATGGTGCTTCTTTGTTATTTTTCTCTGCTCCCCTTCCCTTAGCAGAGAGGGTATCTTTGTGAAGAAGAAACCATATAATCCCCCTGCATGATAATGGGAGCAGATTAGGAGAGGCCCCTTGTCTGTCTGTAGGTCCTGGTCTTCCCTGTTGGGTCCTCCTCACCCTCCCTAGAGTTGACATTGGCCTGTTTGCCAGAATAACTGCCAACATCTTCCATAATTCAGGGCTTTTGAAACCTGTGAATAGTTTCCTTAGCATGTTTGGAACTCTGTGGTTTTAGTTTGCTGATCTGGTCCCACGTTTGTCTTGCTGGCAGAGTAGACCCTCAAGGCGCTGCTATTTCCTCCTCTAGGCACTGCCTATGCTGTCCATCTGTTACAGGGCAGGGAGAGGGGCACCCCAGGCCCCGCAAACCTGCCTGTTCTAAATAGGTTCTGCCATCCGCTGCATCAACACAAAACATAGGAGACTTTAATGAAAAGGAACTTTAATACAATTAGGAAACAACACAGGAAAGGCAAAGAATATAGTTTCTAAATCAAGCACCAAAGTTACCCATCCCCTCATAAGTAAAAGTCCAGCCAAGCAGGATTGGCCCAGAGCAAGGCCCCAAAGCCTGCCACAAGTCTAAAGCATCTTCCAGTGGGGACCCACAGAAAAGGGTCAGAAACAACCAGACAACTAGTCTGGGAGGAAAAGAGCAAAATCAAGATAAAAGCTGCCATTTTCACCTCCCCACGGGTCTCTCACCCACATCTGTGTCACCCAGTCCATGACCAAAAGGCAAGCGCAGTTTCTTCACGTGTCTCTAGGCTCCATGTGCCTCCTCCAGGGCTCCTTCTGGCTCTGCGTCCTGCTTCCTTCCTTCCTCAGTCTCCTCTGCAGCTTCTTCTCTCCCTGCTCAACTCTACCCTCCTTTTGGGTGGAGCAGGAAACCTGGAACCTCCCCTTTTCCTGGGGACCACCCTGTTACACACAGGAACTTCTGTCTCTGCCAGGACATTGTCCTGGCCCTAAACATAACTGCTCCACGGCTGCTTTCTTCTCTCTTCCATGATTCCAGGTGGTCTTTTTACCACATGGAGGTTGGGGGACACTTGCAGAATCATTATGCCCCTCTCTCTGCCATTATGCCCTTTTTCCAAGTGTCCACACATGAGCCAGGCCACCATTGGGGCTGTGTCCTCAATGGCTCGAAGGCTTGCAGCCATTCCTCCTTTCTGTTTGTGTTACAGGGCAGCCCCGATATAAAACGGCTTGTCTGACTGTGTCTTTCCCAATGTCTTGATGGCTTTGGTCTGGAGTGGGGGTGGAGTCCACAAAGCCTGTATGAAATTAGCTCAGGACGTCCTTTCCCCCTAACATTTGAAGTTTCTATTCTTGCATTACACACCAACTTCTGAGGCTGCAGTAGTGGGGGCAGAGGATGAAGGAAGCACGTTATCAACCTTTCTCTTCCTACATTGTCTCCTCCTCTTAGCTTTTGAAGAGCTTTCATCTGTAAAGTCCCCTCCCTGTTTTCTCCCTCCCCTTTCCCTGGGGCTGTAAGGACAGGAGGATTGCATTAGTGTGGGGACTGGACTGGAGACAATAGTGTCAATGATACAGGACAATCATTGGGAGGTATTTAAAAATGTAAAGAATTTTACCATTTTACCAAAATAGTTTGTTTCCCTGCTTTTCTGAACTGTAATGACTCATTCTTGCCGAGTTTTGAAAAAATTCATTTTTATAAGTATTTTTCCTTTAAATAGGTTGTGAGTTCCTAGGCTGCCTTTATTCTTTTATTTTCAGAGGAATTTTGAATAGTGAAAATAATTCTGCTGTTTTAATCTATTTAAATAATATTATTTAAATCAATTAGAAACATTAAAGATGGCCACAGGACAATAGCGAAGCCATACATACTGTATATTTATTTAGTAACAACAATCTTTCGGTTATCAACCCAACAATTATGGGTACTAACAGACCTCTAGGCAACTTATGTTCTCCATGACAGTAAGTCTCAGCAGGGCAGGATATTTTAGGATGAAATTCAGGTTCTGTTTGCTGGAATAGAGCTGCATCCTGATTCTGAGAGCCATGAAACTCCAGGGGGAATTGCCAAACCAAAGAGACTAATCAATGAGACTGATCAGCAAAAGTGGTGCAAGAAAAAGTTAGTTTCTTGTGTCCTGTATTATTGATACCAATTAATTGTCCTTCCTTTTACTTGGTTTACCTTTACAGCGCTAGCAGAGCTGGGAGTGCAAAAAAAAAAAAAAAAAAAAGATCAAGCAGGATGTGAATTAGAGCAGGTGTGCTTGTTTATCACCTAAGTTAAAGGGAAAAAATCTCCTTTCTACGTAGAGAGTGCAATGTAAATCAGCCAGCAAGAGCTAACTAGTGCCACTCTGTGCCAGATATTTTGCTGGGCCCTTTGGAGTTACAGAATATTTACAACACAGTCCCTGATTTGAAAGAATTGAGTTTTGTTGAAAAGATCATTCATATATTCATCCGGAAAATATTTCAAAGTTTATCCATTTCAAAGTTTATCCAAAGTTTATCACAGTGCACCAGGCACTGTGATATGAGGAATAGAAAGAAAACAAGAGAGATATAAACCTTGCTTCCATGGAACTTACAATCAGGTGGTATTGATATTCAATAAGTGACTCTGGCTGTATTCAACTCTCCCCAGTTCTAGCTCTATGGAGTTCTTTACCTTTATTGTAAAATTCAAGCACATTCTGGGTGACCTCAGCAGATGAAATCCCTCTTCAATCTTCCTTTGATTCCAGGAATCCTTCATGTTCCTGCTGTTACTTGGCAGATTTCTTTTTTTTTTTTTGAAGATTTATTTATTTATGCATACAAGAACTGGGGTACAGGCCAGAGGTGTGTGTGGGGAGTGGTGGTGGTGAGAGGATTTATCAGAGACAGAGTGGGGAGCAGAACAGGCAGATTGACTGAAATACACTGCTGAGGGGAGCAGCACGCGAGTCAGGAGAGGTCTGTGCTCTTTGTGGTTCACGTCCCTGGCAGGCGGGAATTGAACTCCTGCTGCAGTACTTGGGGATAGCTTCATTGTGCTAACACTTAACCCCTTGTGCCACCAGGGAGGACCTGGTCTTTTATCTTAAGAGCAACAAGAAGTCACTGAAAGCTGGGTATTGGGCAAATTAGATTTATCTACACCCATCATTTGCAGTCAAGTAGTTTTTATTCAGCATTGTACAAGGGATGTGATAAGTAATCTAGGGAGTTAGAAGTTCTATTAGACATTTAGGTAATATTTAGGGTGAAGTTATATTAGACATTTAGGTAATATTTAGGGTGAAATAAGAGTGGAGAGCAAAGCATGGAGGCAGGATTAATATAGTCTCAGGAAGATAATATCTAGAACATCTTTATCATTCTTCAGGTAGCATTCAAAAAACTTATTTGAAGGCATATATGTACTCCTATATTTACTGCAGCACTATTTAAAATAGCCAAGTTATAGAACAAAGCTAAGGGCCCACCGACAGACAGTGGATTAATAAGACATGGTTTACATACACAAGGAAATACTGCTGAGCTACAAGGTGAAATCTTGCCATTTGCAACAATATTAATGGAACTGGAATAAATTTTTATGCTAAGTGAAATAAGTCTGAAGGAGAAAAACAAATATTGTTGACTTCATTCATATGTGAAATACAGAGAACCAAAACAAAGAAAAAAAAATAACCAAACCCTAGAAATCTGACTGTAGAGTTGAGGCTACTTGGCTGAGCGTGAAGGTGAGGAGCAAAAGTGAGAGGAGGCGCTAGGGACTGTTTTGGAACATTATGGGTGTTTTGGTTGTGGGTGTAGTGTGCTCCAAACATCTAAAGAAGTGTGATCCTATACCTCTGAATCATGCATAGTGTTGCAAATCAGTGTTACCTCAATTAAAAAAAATTAAAAAATAAATAAAATAAAATATTAACTAATAACTAGTCATTGAAAAAATATTTACTTGATCATAGATAATGTGAGTTGATGTATGGACTTTGGTTTTGCATTTTTTTTGAAAATGTTCCAGCAGTGTCATCTGACAAAAGGAGTAGTAATCAATAACCCTGTCCACTGAAACCCTCTGTCTGTTCACAGATCAGGCAGCACACAAACAACTATGCATCCAGTTCCACCTCCTTACCACACCAGTGTTCCTCAACCTTGATGTGGAGTGACCATTTGGAAAGGTGAGAGTTAGAAACTGCCTAAATAAGAGTATAGTTCTCCCCCATCTCTCTGTTCCTCTCGAGTTCAAGCTCAGAATAGCTCTAGCAATTCAAATGCCACAGAAGCACTTAAATCTGACTAAGGCTTTCTTACCAGAGGAGTTATTCTTGTTTTTATGACTTCACTCAAATTTCCTCCAGGAGTTCTTTGAGACTAACTTCAGTCTGATTTTATGACTGATCAACTCTCAGACTATGAAAGTGCCTGCATGTCACTGAGTTTTCATAGTAAGTACAGTTTCCAGGATCTTGTCAAGGCTAAGCTACTCTTATTTTAATTAGGCATCAAAATTCATCATGTTCACCATGTGGTTAGCACATTCTTGCTGTCTATCTGATTAGATCTTTGTATATAACATGTATTTCAATGAATGAAGACTCTATAAAGCAGAACATAATGCCAAATGTGATACACCTCTCTCAAACACCTACTTTCATTATTTCTGTAATTGACTGTGGGATTAGTTGAATAAATAGCTTCCTGGGTGTTACTGCATTGTGTGATTTAAAAAAAAAAATTTTTAATTGAGGAAATTTTGGTCTGCGTGGTTGCTTGTATTTTGGAAGTATAGGACCCCCTCTTTTATTTATTTATTTTTATTATTTTTTAAAGATTTATTTATTTATGCATACAAGAGCTGGGATACAGGCCAGAGGCTTGGGGGAGCGAGAGGATTCACCAGAGACAGAGTAGGGAACAGAACAGGCAGACTGGCTGAAATACACTGCTGAGGGGAGCAGCAGGAGAGTCAGGAGGTCTGCTGTGCCATGTGGGTAGCTCCCTGGCCAGCCGAGGGATTGAATTCATGCTGCAGTGGCTGCAGACAGCTTCATAGGTTGTGTCCCAACCCCTTGGCCACCAGGGAGACCCAGGAACCCCTCTTTTAAATGTTATTACCACACTGTGCCCACCTTTTTTTTAAAAAATGAGAAATGTGTAAATTTTTTTCAAAGATAAAAAACACTTGACTTTCCAGGTAGGCTGAACTTTCCAAAGTCAGTAAGCTCTTTTCCTGTCGTTCCTAGCTAATGCCGGGTACATTAACCCCTCTTTTCAGTGTAGGTTTTTATCAAGGATGTGAACATTAGAGCCACTCAATACCTTTGGCCATTCCTTCTCTCATGGTTGAAGTAGCTGAAAAAAAATCACTTCCGTAGCTCAGGGAAAGATCAAAGTGTTTTTCACTAGAGACATAATGTGCAACTATGCCTGAAGTATAGCACTTCGCTAGTTGATTCTTGCCAATAGTTTAAAAATCAAGAGACCAATAAAATATCCACTCCACTCACCCTTATAGTCCTACATAATTCTCCTAAATGTGTGCATATAGAGCACATCTTCTAGATTGGGCTTTGCTGTGAACTCGGACTCCCTGGGAAAGCAAATGAGGTGGAAAAGAAGAGAGATACTTAGTTTCCACATCTTTATTGGAAGGAACACTCTAATGTGATTTTTTTAAAAATTAAGTAAATTTTGTGATACTTACTCTTCACATCATAAAATAAACACGATTCCCTATCAATCCTTACTACATCTCTCTCTATTCTAACAGATCATGAAAGAACGGACTTGGACTTTTTTTTTTTTTTTTCTTTTTTTGCAATTCCTGCTTCCCTGATTGTGTATTTCTTCCCATCTGAGGAGAACTTTATATTTTGATTTGGATTGTTTCCTCATTTTTTTTTTTCTTTTAATTTTTTTTTTTTTTATTAGTAATGCCCATGGAGACCAGGTTTGTTATATAATCCACATCCCTGAGAGTTACATTGACTTCTTGGACTGAATTTTGAGCATATGTTTAAGAAGGTGGGCAGGATTTCACAGTTGACGATTGTGGGAAAGAGTGAGAAAAACAGAAAACAATCTTCCAGGAGTTTTTTCCTCCAGTCAAGCCCTTATCTGAATCTCGACAGAAGAAATGAACTCCTGCCTAATTCCACAGCCATCCCATTGCAGAACCAGTGCTTTCAGAATGATTGCCACTCAGTAAAACCCAGCAGCGCAGCTCCCAAGAGGGGTTGGTGCTGGGAATTAGCACACCCAACCTTGCCGACATCCTAGAGCCAGGGTAAAAGAAGGGAGCAGGGCATAAGTAGAACTAGAAGACTGGCCTTCTAGCCGAAACTATAGATAGTCAAGTTCTCCTAAGAAGGGCGGGAAAAAATTAATTATCTTTTATATGTACATGTGTACATGTGCCTTAGAGTTTTAGTGGATTTTGGTCCACAAAATAAATGAAAATTCAGAGTTGACTTGATTTGCATTTTCACTGTCAATAGGAATGACTTTAAAAAATCAAATAAATAGTGAAATTCAGGTTACAAGGTAACCGCCTAAACTATCTAAGAGAACAAATTTTTTTCCCAGCATTCTCAGTAGTAGGGATAACTTTAATTATTCAGGTAGCATAAGGATATCTGTAAGTACACCTTATTTGATATACTATAATTACTAGGAATACTTAACTGTTTAATTTTTGTCTTAAAATATTTGTGCTCATATTTTTCATGAATCCAGACTTTTACTGAATATTTTGTTAATTCAAAATATCTCTAGTCTCATCCCATGGATAAAAATGTTTTTCTGTTTTCTTCATGTTCTAAACCTTTACTTGGCTTTCATTATGTGAAATGCTTTTTTATATAAGAATAATTTGTATATTATATATTTTAAGAGCCTTTGTAATTCTTTTTTTAAAAAATTACTAAACTCTATTGTTAGCTCCTTGTGGGCAGTATGACTGCTTTATCTCTTGTATCTATAGAGCTTAGTACAGTGCTAATAAGCACATAGAAATTCCTCAATAAAAACTTGATGGAACAATAAAGTGACCACACTACAATCTATGTGATAATGCCTAAAACAACTAATTATGCAGCACCATGAGGAAGGGTGGCATGTAGTTGACAGTTGATTCTCTATTCACATTTCTACTTTGATCTTTTACCGCTTTGGTCAGTCTTTAAATTCAGGCATCTAGTCTCCTAGATGTCTTCTTTAGGCTTCTTGAAGAAAACAACTTTAATTATTCATTGAATGTGGGTGATTGCCATTAAAAAAATAAATGAGAAAAATTAAAGTCTGCATGTAAAATAACTGATCATTTAGTGAGTATGACTTTTTTTAAATTGTGGTAATACTGGTTTATAATACTATATGTTTCAACAGTACAGTTCACACCTCATTTAATGAATATATCACATCACACTCACCACCAAAGTTTTAGTTACCATTCATCACTATCCATTTGAACCCCTCTCCCCATTCTCCTCACTTCCTACTCCTTTCCCCTGTGGTAACCACCACTCTGTTGTCAGAATCTAAGGGTTTTTGTTCTTTATTCACTTGCTTTGTTTATTTATTTTCTATATACGAGTGAAATCATATGGACTTTGTCTTTCTTTTTCTGACTTATTTTATGAATTTAATCCCCTTAGAGTCCATCCATGTTGTTGCAAATGGCAAGGTTTCATCTTTTTGATAGCAGAGTACTATTCCATCATGTGTATATACTGCGTATTCTTTATCAGTTCATCCACTAATGGGTACTTTGTTTTCATAACCTGGCTATTGTGAATATGCTGCAATGAACATAGGGGTGTATATATCTTTTTAAATGAGTATCTTCATACTCTTCAGGTAAATACTCAAGAGTAGAATTGCTAGATCATATTGTATGTTAGTTTCATTGTAAAATTTTTGAGGAAGCTCCATACTGTTTCTATAGTGACCACCAATTTATGTCCCACTTACATTCCCAGCAACAGTACATGAAAGCTCCTTTTTCTCTGTATCTTCACCAACACTTAATGCTTCCTGTCTTTGGGATATAAGGCATTCTTACAGATGTGAGATATCTCATTGCAGCTGTCTTTTTTTTTTTTTTTTTAAGATTTATTTATACAAGCACTGGGTACAGTCAGAATCACAGGAGGGTGAGAGAATTCACCAGAGCCAGAGAGGGGAACAGAACAGGCAGACTGAGTGACATACACTGCTGAGGTGAGCAAGGGGCAGCAGGAGAGGTCTGTGCACCATGTGGGACCCTTGCCCAGAGGATGGGGATCGAACCAGTGATGCAGAGGCTGCGGGCAGCTTTGCAACCCAGAGCTCAACTGCTGCGCCACCGGGGAGGCCCTGTGATTGTCGTTTCTTACCTTGTCATAGAAGCTGAATTTTAACTCTACATCTACAGGCAAAATGAAGGTATTGCTAAAGATATAGATCAAATAATTTGAACAAATGAGGACAGTAAAAATATTCTCATTTTATGACTTCTTTGAGCATAGTGTTTGCTCTCCAAAAATAAATATACAAGAGCTTTGTAAATGAAAAACAGTCTATAGTTGATTTCTTAATAAAAGTTAGTGATGGGCCTCCCCTGGTGGCGCAGCGGTTGAGCTCTGGGCTGTGAAGCTGCCCGCAGCCTCTGCAGCGCCAGTTCAATCCCCGGCCACCAGGCGAGGGTCCCACAAGGCACACAGACCTCTCCTGCCGCCCGCTGCTCCCCTCAGCAGTGTACTTCGGTCCTTCTGCCTGCTCTGCTCCCCGCTCTGGCTCTGGTGAATTCTCTCACCCTCCTGCGCTTCTGACTGTCCCCAGTGCTTGTATGTATGTATGTATATATGTATGTATGTATGTATGTATGTATAAATGAATGAATGAATGAATGAATAAATCTTTAAAAGAATAAAATAAAAGTTAGTGATTACTAATTATTGCTTTTAATCAGTTTGTTTGACTTATAACTGAATGTTAAATCCACTTAAATGCCTTGGAAATGGACAAGAAATATTTGTGCAGCATTACTTTAAGAAAATAATAGAAGCTAAAACTGCAGGCATGCATACAAAACATAAAAAAGCAAATAATAAACACTGAAATACTATGGCACAGGAAGGACAGAAGAAATTACTTATTAAAAAAAAAAACACAACACCATTAAAAAACAGGACAAAACCAAACAGAGACTATTAATAAAAATACAGGGATAACATAGAAAGGAAGGAAAAATAACAACTGACGTTGTTACAAATTATAATTTAGTAGTATGGGCTCCATAAATACTGTTTATCATTGTGGTTATGTGGTGGGGGATGCTGGTGCTGCTGGCAAAGAGTTCGAAATAGAGGGGCCTCCCTGGTGGTGCAGGGGTTAAAGACAGCGCTATGAAGCTACTGCCAGCCACTACAGCGATCCCTAGCCTGCCAGGGAGCAACACACATGGCGCAGCAGACCTCTCCTGTCTCACCCACTGCTCCTCTCAGCAGTGTACTTCAGTACATCTGCCTGTTCTGCTTCCCACTTTGTGTCTGGTGAATCCTCTCACATCCGTAACCTCTGACTTACACCCCAGTTCTTGTATGCATAACTAAATAAATCTTTTTTTAAAAAAGTTAGAAATAGATATTCAAGCAAAGTTAAGAAATATCATACTAAGAATGTAGAGTCAGTGGGAAACGGTAGTAATATATTCTTTTAAAGACTTTGAAAATAAAAGATAACAAAAGTTTGAGTTAATCTCCTTCCCATATATCTAGCCAACCTTTAAATTCTACCAGTTCTGCATATTTTTCTCAATTCTATCACTTCATCTTCACTGGCTGGACTAAATCTAGGCCTCCACATAAGCGGGAGAGGGAGAGAGAGAGGAGTCAAAACAAGGGAGGGAACAAGTACAAGGTGTGGATCACCAGTGCTGTGGTGGTGGGAGACGTGTGGACTACACCTGAGGGGGGAAATTAAATACTATACAATTTTTAAAAAAGATTTATTTATTTATGCATACAATAACTGGGGTGAGGCCAGAGGTCTGGGGAGGGTGGGGGTGAGAGGGTTCACCAGAGACAGGGTCAGGAACAGAACAGGCAGATCTACTGAAATACACTTCTGAGAGGAGCAGCGGGTGAGTCAGGAGAGGTCTGCTGCACCATGTGGGTCACCTTCTTCACTGGAGATCGAATTCATGCTTCAATGGCTGCCGATAGCTTCATAGTGCGGAGTGTTAAACCCTTGAGCCACCAGGGAAGGCCCCACTATACCAAAATGAACAACAATGTAAGAAAATAAATTAATTAATTTTAAAATATTCTAGGCCTCCAGCATTTCCCACCTGAGTTACCCTGGTAACTGGAATCCTGCTTCTAGTTCTAGGCCCTCTAATCACCTTCCACTTCTGCTGCCAAGATGATGTTAAATGTTAATGAAATGTTAAATTTTATTTCTGATGTGAAATGCTAATAAAATGAAAACTTGTTTATGTTATTTTCCTTCCTAACATCTTTAATATTTTTCTATGGCCTTTAGGATAAAATAAATCATTAACTTAGTCCTTGGAACTGTCTATGATCTAGTCTCTGCTGAACGCTTGATCTCTTTTTCTCTACCCACCTTGCTTCCAGCTATGCCAAACTGTCACTTCATGTTTCCTTCTATAGTGGGTAGTCCCTTCTCCTCTTTCTTATGTGACTGACCCTAACTTATCTTCTGTGTATCAGTTCAAGTACCACTTCTTTCAAGAACACTTCTTTTCTGATTAAACATCCATCTTTGTTGTAATTTGTTGGTTTATTTGCCCATCATCTCTACTAGCTAAGGCAGGAAATGTTTTTATCTCTGTGTCCAGATTTCCCCCTTTTTTTTTTTTTGTAAGAACATAAGTCATATTGGGTTAGAGATCTGCTTTACTCCAGTATGACCTCATCTCAAATAATTGCTTCTGCAATGATGCGATTTTCAAACAAGATCACATTTTGATGTACCAGGGGTTAGGACTTCAGCACATGAATTTACTTGGAGGGAATGGGACACAATTCAACCCATAACAAACAGGTTGGTTGATTTATGGAGGACGACACATCAAAACTGCAAAACTATAAGGCCTAATATGAAATTGCTTCTGGGATTTAAAAGGCTTAAGGATTGAATAAAATCTCAATGAAGCATTCTAACCTTGGCTTCAATTAAGAAAGACAATTCAAAAATGGTTATATTTCTGACACTGAAACATCTGGAAGTTTTTATGATAAATAAATTGTAAACACCATAAAGCAAGTGGTGGGATTATGTTGTGTTGTTTGCGTCTTATTTTAAGAGATCGTATTAGACAAAGTCTAATCGCACAATTTATGTTGGGGACAGTGGGAGGGTGTCGGAATTTTTGTACTTATGTTATCAACTCAGGTTTATTTTACTGCTTTAAATTATCATATTTCTTTCCTGGTAGTTTCTAAATTGGAGCAAGATAGTCACCTTGAGATTAACATTTGAAGAGAAGTCTGATGCTACTCATTTAAAAGAAGATAATTAAAGATTTGCCAAGTCATTTGAACAAAGGCATATTAAAACAAATCTAGCACATGATGTTATTACTGACCAAAAAGCATAATGATTGTCTAGCTGTTGCCTTCTCCAGTCAGACTTGCTGATTTGGGGATTTTTATTTGCAAACAAACCTTCCAAAGAGCATAACAAACAGCTGTATCTGGTCTGCTAATAAAAAGTCTCATCTTGGGTTTAGGGTCAACTGTCTCTCCTGATTTGTCGATATCAAAGTCAACTGTTGACACCATGGTGGGGTTTGGAGGCTATAAAAGGTCAGTCGCGGTCTCATAGAACACTGTGCAGTGTCTGCTCCCAATGCACACGTTGTTCATCTGACCCTGACTGGAAGTTGTTCCAGTAAAATCCCATTAGCTTTATTTTTTTTAATTTTATTGCCATATTTACGTTCTCCCTCCACACCTCTTAAAAGGAAAAATAGTGTTTACTTATGTACTTATGTTTCTAGGAAGTGATGCAAATGTTTTTTGGAAAGAATAGTGGAACATTCACCATAATTCTAAAGTTCTTTTTGTATCAACATTTGTTTCTATTCACAGTTACGGTGAGAGATTTTGCCAACACCAGGCAGTTACTAATCTGCCACACAGCTGAACAAATCATTTTCTTGAAATGGTTCCCCAGTAATATCTAATTATAAATGCCCATAATTCCCTAGGGTGTCACTCTCTATACAAATAATTGTAGGGAATATAGGGACAGCACTGATAGTCCATTTAACAACACTCACCATGTGATTGATAATTTCATAGTTCAGATGCTGAGACTCTATAAGGAACTAAAACCTTCCTGATGGTGGATATAGTGGCACAAACTTGT